CTCACCCCTGAGCCCTCCTCACCCCCCCCCAGCTAACCCTTGGGCCCTGCTCACCCCCCCACCCCTGGGCCCTCCTCATCCCCCCCATCCCCCGCCAGCCCAGCAGCAGGGCCTGAGCTCTGCTTCATGGATGCACAGGGCCTGGGCCCCTCCCCCTCCCTCTGACCCGAGGGCTCTGGGGAGGGGCCACGGGTCTGGGCTGGGAACTGGGGGAGCCTGCCACCCCCAGGCTCCGCGCCCTGAGAAGTGGAGAAGTGGAGAGGCCGGTGGCGTTTCCCAGAAGTGTCTCCTTACCTCACCCGCCGCCCGCCGCACCGGGCCAGCCTCTTCTGCACAGGTCCTGCGCCATCTCCTTGGGTGTGGGTTTCTGAGGGCTGACACTGCTGCCCCCAGCAAGCGTGGGGCGTGGGGCTGTGCCAGGCAGGGCTGCCCCGGGCCTGCAGCCACGGCCCTGTGTCCTCCACACCCCTTTGCTGCCCAGAGCAGCGCAGGCGGCCTTGGTGGCCAGGGCTGCCTCACCTGGGAGGACCCGCCCATCCCCCAGGGCTGAGGCCGGCCCTACTCCACATGCAGGGCCACCTAAACCTCACCTCTGTCTGGTGACCCCTGTCATTTCCTTGGGAAATTTAAATGAGTAAGAGTAAAACTGAAGACTGAAGGTTTGGAATTTAGGCCATTGGTGACCACAATAGTCCAGATTTCAGTAGACAAACAAGTCAGTTTTCTTTGACTGTAAATCAGTCAGCCGAAGAGTCTTAAGACCACCGGCAAGTCCAGGGAGGTCTCTGGGAGACAATCTGGAAAATTCAGTAGGACTCTGGGGCCTGTCCTGCTGCTCCAGGCGTCCCTGGACGGATCCCAATAATTAGGAGAGGGCATTCCCAAAGTCCTAATTAAAGGGGGGCCAGGGAGTCAGGAAGGGAGGGACAGACTCCTGGAGTCTCTGGGGACCCCACAGACAGGAAGGGGGATGTCTGCAGTCCTGGGGCCTGGTTCAGGGCGACTCCACCACGGACTGGCCGGCACCTCCGATGGAGAAAGGCCTGGGAAAGAGAAGGTGAAAGGCTGAATGAGAGGCCGCCGGAGGCAGGCAGAGGGACCCCGTTTACCTGGCGCTTCTCTCCCGGGTTTTGGCACCACATGTTAGGAAAATATAGGAGAAAGGAAGGAAACAGGCTGGACTTAATTCTCCACAAGTGAGGACTGTTTATTGAAATAGAACAGCAAGGGACACAGCCTTCCCATGGGCCGGGAGACTGTGAAAGGAGCTGGGACAGGAGCTGGGTTTTTACGAGGCCTGAGCAAGGAGGCACAGGTGAATGAAAGAGCCGTTAGTGCCGGGCACCGGTGGCTCACGCCCATGACCCGAGCTACTCAGGAGGCTGAGATCTGAGGATCAAGCCTCAAAGCCAGCCCAGGCAGGAAAGTCCATGAGACTCTTAAGAATCTCCACTAAAGCACCAGAAAACCAGAAGTGGCACTGTGGCTCAAATGGTAGAGCACTCGCCTTGAGCTGAAGAGCTGAGGGACAGCACCCAGGCTCAGATTCAAGGCCCATGACTGACAAAAAGGAAAAAAGGAAAAGCCATGGTCCGGGGGTGGGGCCCACGGTGGGATCTTGCCGCTGGCTCAGGTGGACGGCCCTGCCAGCACCGCACACAAGTTAGCCCATCTCCGGGGTTTTGCCTGGCGTTGGTATGTGGCTGGGACAGTAGGGTGGGAGTCAGTCCTTCAGGTGGGGGAATAGTGGGGGCACCTCAAGGCAGAGCAGCCCCGAGGGCTCCTTGCCCCGAGGCTGGCAGCGTGACGGGCTGGCGCCTGGCCTGCAGGGCCGGGCCTTACCTGGGGTGTGTCCCTGGCACCGCCCGGCGTCCAGCCTCTCTGGCCTCGTTTGCTCAGGAGGGCCTGGGACCACCTGCTCCCTGAGTGTCTGTCCTCACCGGCAGAGCCCAAGGCGGATTCTCGGAGCCTGGCCAGGACTGGCATGCTAACCACACCCCATGTGCACAGGACACGACTGTCCTGAACTGCCCTTCAGCCGGGCTAGAACCCCCGCAGCTGATCGTCCCACAGTCCCACTTCTCTCTCGGTAAAAGCAATGGTACAACACTTTGTCAGGCTAAAACCTCTGTCCACACAGGACAGATGAAGGAATCGCCAGGCCAGCTGACCTCCAGGGCGCCCAGGACAGGCAGATGCGAGGGACTCACTACTCAGCACTAGACTGCAAGGAAAAAGAACATTCCTTTCCTCTGGGTGCCGCTCCCCTCCCCGCTTCCTTCCCTCCCTCCCCCTCCCTCCCCCAATGCCTCTCACAGGCACACAGGCCAGCACTTGCTTCATTTCCCGGCCAAACCCCAGTGTGAAGTGTCCTGTTGAGCCGGTGACCCCTCCCTCCCCCAGAGGCCAGCAGGCCCAGGCCCAGTGGCCCCCCTACCTGCCCTGGCCCAGGCCCGGCTCGGCCCCCCTGCCCTCCCAGACCCGGCGGCCCCCCTGCCCGCCCAGGCCCG